TATCCTTTAAAAGTTCAGTAGTTCCCACCAAGATGCCCAGTGTGTTTATCTGACAGAGTCAGGTGAATTTTATCACTAGAAAAGCACACTTCATGGATTGCCTGTATCCTGCCACAATTTTCTTGCTTCCAGAGATAAACCTAAAACGGCAAAAGAATGTTGCTGAATCTTTAGTTTTCTAATTTTTATTTTCTTCTCCACTAATTTTGTGTTTTTCTTTGGCTTGCACAGGCATATCTTGTTTTGTTGTGCTTCACTTTATTATGCTTCACAGATACTCTGTTTTTTACAAATAGAAGGCTTGTGGCAACCCTCCCTGGTGCCATTCCATTGATAACCATTTTTCCAAGAGCATGTGCTCACACTTCCTTTCTCTGTATGACATTTTGGTGATTCTCGCATATTTCAAATTTTTTCATCATTCTTCTATCTATCATGGTGATCTGTGATCAGTGATCTTTCATGTTACTACTGTAATTGTCTTGGGGCACCACAAACCGCACCCATTCAAGATGGCAAACTTAACAAATATTGTGTGTTCTGACTACTCTACTGACTGACCAACCATTGCCTGTCTCTTTCCCTCTCCTCAGGCCTCCATATCCCCTATACAGTATTGAAATTAGGCCAGTTAATAACCCTACGATGATGTCTAAGTGTTCAAGTAAAAGGAGGAGTTACACATCTTTAAATCAAAAGCTAGAAATTATTAAGCTTAATGAAGACATGACAAAAGCTGAGATAGGCCAAAAGACAGGCATCTTGCACCAGTTAACCAAGTTGTGAACGCAAAGGAAAACTTACTGAAGGAAATTAAAAGCGCTACTCCAGTGTATGAAGGCATGATAAGAAAGCAAAACAGCCTTATTGCTGATATGGAGAACATCTGAGTGATCTCTACAGACGATTGGCTGGGCGTGGGGGCTCATGCCTATAATCCCAGCACTTTGGGAGGCCGCAGCAGGCAGATCACGAGGTCTGGAAATGGAGACCATCCTGGCTAACACAGTGAAACCCCATCTCTACTAAAAATACAAAATATTAGCTGGGCATGGTGGCAGGTGCCTGCAGTCCCAGCT